TTCTGTCGGCCTTCTTCTCATCAGTGTTCCCTCAGACTTGGAGCTTCTCTGCACAGGAACCTCAGGTCCGAAGGATGCGCTCTGCTCCTGGTTCTTCTTTCTTGGTGGTATGAGGTTCCCAATTCTCTGCTTGCTTCTCTTTCCTTTTATCTCTTACAAGAGATAAAAGGTGGTACAGGCCACACCCCAGGGAAACTCCCTTTACATTGGATCAGGGATGTGACCTGGGTTAGGGTGGTGTTAAAATCCCACCCTAATCCTCTTTAATGTAAAATTACAATCACAAAATGGAGGACAACCACACAACACCGGGAATCATGGCCTAGCCAAACTGATATACATATTTTTTGGGGGACACAATTCAATCCATAACACCCACCTTGGCATCTCCCTCTTATTTCATTTTTTATTCAAGGAAATGTATGCACATATTTAAAATAAATATTACAGAAGAGGTTTCAATGTTAAGAAAAAGTTATTTGTCCCATTGTGGCTCTATTCCCAACCCTGCTCCCAAAAGGCAGCCACTTTAAACAATTTTAGCTATTTCTTCTAGTAGTTACCTCTACTAGAGGTAGTTCTCTCCAAATAATGTCTATACTCTATTTTTTGATTTACCAGTTAGATATATTTTACTGATTTCATGCCTGTATTGCTATTTGTCGGTTTTTCCATTTTAAGAGTCACCCTTTGACTTCCACCAAGAAATGTAAGAATTTTTAGGTCTTTACTCCCCAACCCCCACCTATAAATACCACACATATATACATTTCTCATTCCCCAAGTTACAATTTTGATCATAATACTCAATACATCATACTGTAAGCTATGATTACTTTTCCTTTCCTATGCAATTTGTTTTCATTGGAAAAACATTTATTTGTGGAATATTTTCTTGAATTATCTCTATAATGATTTCCTCTCCTCCATTTTCTCTACTCTATCTGTGCTAATATTATAATGTTGTATTTTCAAAACTGGACCCCTACTTACCTTTTTCTCCCCTAGTCTCCATCTTTGTTTATCCGCTCTACTTTGTGTAGGTTTTTCAACTTTATTTTCTAGACCTTCTATTAAGTAATTTCAGATGTTTTAAATTCTAAGAGTTCTTTACTGATACTGTTCTGTCTGTGATTATTTTTTAAAAAGCACCCTCTATCGTCTCTTGGATGTCTTGGATGCATTACTTCTGTTATCCCCTTGATGATATTATGATAGCCCCCCTCCCCCACCCTGAGTTGCTTTATGCTCTTGGTTTTGGTATTTGATCTCATGATTAGAGAATTTTCCCAGATTTTTCTTAATACTTGATTGCCTGTTTGAGAGCAGGGGTTGAAAAGGTTGCTTGAAATACACTGGAGTTTACTGGCCTAAACTTGACTGCAGAGAGATCATGGCAGGTTGTTTACTTAAGGATTACTCTAAATCAGCATCTTAAAGTCTTGCTCTTGGATTGGGCAGATTCCCCAGACAAGATTCTTCCAAGTTCCTCCCTGGGGAATAAAAGCCTTGTTCTCATTCTTTTGGAAAACTAGTAGGGAACACATATTTGACTTATTCCTCCTGTTTTCCATACTGATCCCCTGCACTCAATACTGCTTGAGACCACTCAGTCAAGAAACCCTACAGTTATAAAACAAACAGTAACAGACGTGAGGAATGTGCTTCTTAGTTCAACCAAGTATACGAGACCAAATGGGCAAGCCCTGTCCAAAAGCAAAGATGAGCAGGCAGGGACAGGAAAACTGGATGAATGGACACAAGTGTAAAGGGAAAGGGGGAGAGTGCTGACACATTGCTGGGACTGCAACCAACATCACAAAACAATTTGTATATACATTTTTGAATGAGAAACTAATTTATGCTGTGGGAAAAAAAAGAAAAGAAAAAGAAGAAACCCCACTGTTCACAGAAAAGAAACTAGGCAGGGAAGGGACATTCACTTATGGGGACGGAATCTAGGGTTTTAACAGCTTCTTAAATGTCTTTCAACCAATTCTACTTATTTTCATGTCCCTCCCTTTGCCCCCGGCTGAGGTACCTGGTACTGCTACTTCCTGGGCCTTTTGGGCCTTATGCAGTATAAATAGGATTGGCTCTTGATTTCTCACCAATAAAACTGCTAATTCATATTTGCTTTCCAGCATTCAAAACAGTTCTCCCAGTCAATGTGGGTTTATACTTAAGACAAGCAAGTAAATAAACAAAACACAGTTCCTTTATAATAGTCTTAGTGGGGTTTTGGGAGGGAGCGAAATTAGATATGTATACTGGAATCTGTATTTTTTTTTTTTAAACCTGCCCAAATCACTAATGAAAACCTCATGGATCACAATGGTTTGATGCACAACCAATCATGGGGATGGTGTAGGACCATGCAGTGTTTAATTCCATTGTACATAAGGTCACCATGAGTCGAGGCCAACTCGATGGCTGCTAACAAGTGATTTAAATCCACTGAGAACCACTCTCGAACACATAGAATATGTACAGTTATTCTAATGTTGGCTTAGAGAGTGTTTTGGTGACTCTGGGTAAACTGCATAGACACACAAAATGGACAAAAATGCCCAGACTTCTTCATATCGCTTTATTGTTGTAAAAAATTGGTAAAATGTGTGCCCATTCAAGAGGAGTGTGCTGTATAAATCTAAGGTATATTGCTATCTTCTTCTAGGAAGACATTATTTCACTACTAACAAGGCGAGTTGTTTTTCTTGCAAAAATAATGAATTGAGTGATATGGCTATTCTCTCCCTTGTACTCCCTGTAACTCATTTACAAGACAGCTTTTCGATCAGTGATACAGTATACAGATTTATGCTTCCCCATAACAAACAGTTCACTAAATGAAATGTAATTAAAAAGAACTTCACTCTCCTTGAATTCTACTCAAACCAATGAAGACCTTATCTTGTGAGCTCTTTGAGTATGTGTAAGTATGTAATTGTGTATAAACTTTTAATATAAATGTTTTACATCTCCTTCCAGGCATGTGGATTCTGTTAATAGCAAGTCTGCAAGCCACACCACTCAGAAGATACAGGAAATTAATACTCCTGAGAGGAAATTATACTACTTGAGAAGGTGAGGCATCCAGCTTCTAAAGAAAAACGACTTTTGATAACACAGTATTATCACCTTGAAAGTGTTTGGTAAATACTAAGCTTTCTTTTCACACTTTAAAAGGGCTTAAAGCGTCACACAGGTAGCTTGCAGTTCCTCTGCAGCTCCAAAACGCTGATTGTACTGGGATTTTAGGTTCTGACTGGAACTAGGTTCTAGTTCCAGTTCTTTCCCAAACTGGCTATGTGACCTCAGGCATGATATTCAGACCTGTTTTGAACACCTTCATCTATAAAACAATAATCCGTATCATTCTTTCATCCTTGATTTCCCATTGCTGGCATAGAATCAGAAGTAATTTAATCTTCAAAATGATATAAATATTTTCTAATACTAAATATTTTTTGGTGTGGGTGCCAGAACTGAGTCTGCATACCCATCACCTGTATGGAAACCTTACTTCTAAAAGTATTAATTATATCAAGAAATACAATAACTGAAAGTAAATTTAATGTAAATGTACTTGTCCTTCATTTCATATTGTCAGGTAATATAAGACCCTCCATCTAAATCAGATCTTTTTAGATTTAAAACCTTAATGAAAAGACTTGTGAGTGGGGGAAGGAGATGTAGAGTTTTGCTTTTTTTTTAGTATCCGTGATAGTCAAAACCCTGTTCATAAGATAAACCGGTTTTCGTGGTATTTCATTATTTGTGATATTGTTTAGTCATAAAGTGAGCTCTAGTACCTTACTGTACTGCAACAGGTTGATTTTTCTACCTCATAGACCAAAAAACCAAACCTGTTGCCGTCAGTTTATTTCCACTCATTAGTAACAATGGTTTCAATGTAGAAACAAAAGGTTTCACATCCTACCCAGAATTATATTTATGTGGTAGGATTTGTCTATGTTCTGCATGCTTTGATCTATTGCGCCTTGGTTCAAATCCTAGCTTTTGTCACTATCTTGTTCTGTGGATTTTACGCAAGTCATTTTATTGGGTGTCAGTGTTTTTCACTTCAAATACGTGAAGGATAAAATGAGATCAAAAAAAGTATTTAAAAAGAAATTGATACGCCAAACATTGCTGCTGTGGCCAATTAACTCAATTATTTAATTGCCTGAGGGTGGGGAGAGGTTGGGGCCCTACTCTGTTTTGCTCCATTTTTTCTGAATCCCATTCTGTCTTTCACAGAGCCAAAGAGAATTAGGGCCATCTATGCATTAGGCCACATACTTCACCACCACGGGAAACAATCTCCTTATTAATCTTTCTCAGGTTTTGCTTTCAGCCGGAGCAAATATCTATCTTAACACAAGACCCAAGGCATATTCTATCTTTATGATCACAATCAAGCTTTTTCTCTCCCGAGGCAACATCAAGATCAGAAACCTATCTGGAAGATAAGGTTGCACGATCAGATAGGAACCTCTGCGCTCTGGTACTTTCTAAGGCTACAGGTGTAAACTGCTCATACTCGGTGGTGACCGAGCAGATAAAGTCAGCATTTCTCAAAAGCATAGAGCATGACATGCACTTTGTGAGGCGTCATTTCCTTAGAAGTCTTCTCGCTACAAAAGCGCCTGGAAATATCAGAGAGGTGCTTGGAAAAAGAATGGGAAATCCTCAGTCACAAGTCCCTGTAGTGTTACTACTGTAAATGACACAAGAAACTGACTAGGGGGTGGGGTCGGTTTTCACTGGCCTACTAGGAACCGCGGCACAGGGCCAAAGCTGGTCTCGGATACTGAAGGCTGTGATGGCCGTGGCTCTGGTAGGGTGGGCATTTACTCGGGGAAGGATGAAACAGAAATGACGTTTCTGTAGTGTGCCAAAACAAGCCACCATTAAAGCCACGCAGGTCTGCAACATGCATCCCTCGAACATCCCCTCCCTTAATGAGAGAGCGTGCGCCCATGGGGGCCCATTACCATCCTGCAGGATGAGGGTGGGCTGCACCGCCTGCACTCGGAACTGCCTGGCCCTCCAGCCAGGGCTGGGCGCTCGCACCACCTCGCTGTCGGATAGCCAGGTCACCGTCTCAAAGTTGTCCCCGCGAGCCAGAGCCTCCGCTTCAGCGTGGTGCACAGCTACCCGGTCGAAGTGGTAGAGGCCGCCGGAGTGGTCGAAGTGCACGTGGGTGGCCACTGCCAGCAGCGGCCGGCGTTCTGCGTCGTCCTTGGCCTCGCGGTCCTGCAAGAGGCCGGAGGAGTACAAATACTCAGGGAGACTGCGCAGGCCCAGGCCTGTGTCGATCACCACGTCTTGCTCGGAGCCGCGCACTAGCCAGATGTTGGCGCGGTTGCCCGACTCGTAGAAGCGTTCCTGAATCCAGAAAATGCCGTCGCCCAGGGACTTGTGGGCGTACCACTCGAGCGCCGACATCCTGGGCAGGGGTGCGGCCGAGAGGGTTGGGTGTGGGCGTGTGTGCCTCCTGCAGGCTGGCCAGACCCGCGGCGCTGCGGCGGTTTGGAACTGTCTGCCAGCAGCTAGGGAGGAGGCGCAGAGCGAAGAGGGGCGGGGAATGCTGGGAGGTGCGGAAGGAGTAGTAGGGGGAGGAAGGACGCCTTCTACCAGGTCAGCAGAGCGCAGAGACTGCACTGCCTGCACCCGGTCGCAGGAGCAATAGCAGCCTCAGCAACCGTAGCATGAAGGAGTGTTAACGCAGGGGCCTCTACACAGGAAATCCAGAAGATACTTTCCCCACCGCCGGGGGGGTTTGGCTGCAGAGGCTGCAAAAGAACCGTGGGAGGCTACCACAAGCCTACCAACGTGCCGCAATGCTCACTCCCACCAGGCGCGGAAAGTCAGGCCAACAGGTTGGACGGCGACTACGGCGCCTGCCAAGGGCTAAAAAGCTCTTTGCCCAGGAGGTGGGACTTAACTAGGTAGTGGGCGGGGCTAGTTGGTTGGAATCCGAACGCGGTTGTCGGGCCGCGTGGAGGGCGGAGCGCGCGTCTCCCAAAGTGGGGCCAGCGACCCGCAGCTTCGGCGTCCTCTGCTCGCAACCTTACTTTGCCGGCCGGCAGTTCTGCTGCATAGTTTTGCCAAAGCAACGAGTCTTAGTGAACAGGTAACGAAGCAACTAATCGGGGCCTTGGGCGAGGGTGAGGACGGTAGAGGGGAATTAAAGGGGCACATGGAGTGGATGGGGTAGTCAGGAGTAGACATTCTTTAAAGAGCCTCTGCTTTGAGACGCGTTGGGAGATAGCTTTACCTCTCCTTTCTCTGCTCCCTTAAAAATTTTATAAAATCGTTTCCAGATCTTACCTGGTCTCCATTTACTGGGACTGTTTGCACTGAGTTAGAAGGGAATTTGTTTTTATTAGTGGTAGGAGATTTACCACATCCTGGGATTTGTTATTTGATTGGTTCGGGCACTAGTCATTGCCGCAGACTTGCAGCTGAGGACAGACTATGTTTTAACTGTTGACACTTTACCCTGTATCGTGAGGAAAGCGGCTGATAACAAGGTTTTTCTTTTCTAAAAAATAAAATTCTACCTTTTTTCTCTCCCTCCTTTAATTTTTTGGCTAGTTTATCGACTCTGGGAAGAGAGCAAAAAAAGTTAGTAGAAAGGCTCGACTAAGGAAAGGTGGAGGCAGCTTGTGAGGACGCGAAAGATGTTTATTAACAGGGTGTGGCCCTGCCAGCTACACAAATCACCTCCAGTGTTAATGCCCGGTCCCTGTCCTAGACGCCCCACCGCCTCCCGCCCCCGTCCTCCTCCAGCTATTAAACGTTCATTTAGGCTTAAAAAATTCCCTTGAGAACTTGACTAACCTATTCAGCCGGAGAAAACAGTATTAAGGGACCCATGAGACAGCATTATAAAAGATAATTGTGACTACCCTTATTGGCAACTGCATACTAATACGCCTCGTGGAAAGAGAGGTGTACTCTTTTCCACTACCTTGTTAATTTAACGGGCTTGGTGGGATGTGGCCTTTACGAAGATTTTGTTAATCAAGTTAGGGGTTATCCAGTCACTACTTTAGGGGCATTCTTTTTTTTATTGTTGTTGTGAGGATACACAGCAAAAACATACACCAATTCAACCCTTTAATTAAGTGACATTATTATATTCTTCGACTTATGCAACCATTCTAACCATCCTTTTCTGAGTTGTTCCTCCCCTGTTAACATAAACTCACTGCTGCCTAAGGTTGCTCTTGTCACTTTGATCCCATATAGATAGTTCTTAAAAGAGCATAATGCTCAAGGGAGACTTGTGTGTGTGTGCTTTAAGTGAAAGTTTGCAGCTCAAGTTAGTTTCTCATACAAATATTTATACACACATTGTTATGTGACCCTAGTTGCTCTCTCTATACTGTGACAGCATACTCCTCCTTTCCACCCCAGATTTCCTGTGTCCATTCAGCCAGCTCCTGTCCCTTTCTACCTTCTGGACAGGAGCTGCCCATTTAGTCTTATGTATCTACTTGAGCTAAGAAGCACACTCTTCAAGAGTATCACTTTATGTCTTACAGGCCAGTCTAATCTTTGTCTGAAGAGTTGGCTTCGGGAATGGTTTTAGTTCTGGGTTAACAGAGAGTCCAGGGGCTGTATCTTCCAGGGTTCCTCCAGTCTCAGTCAGACCATTAAGGCTGGTCTTTTTACTAGAATTTGAGTTCTGCACCCCACTTTTCTCCTGCTCCGTCAGGGACTTTCCATTGTGTTCCCTGTCAGGGCAGTCATTGGTGGTAGCTGGGTACCATCTAGTTCTTCTGGCCTCAGGCTGATGGAGTCTCTGGTTCATGTGGCCCCTTCTGTCTCTTGGGCTAATATTTTCCTTGTGTCTTTGGTATTCTTCATTCTCCTTTGCTCCAGGTGGGTTGAGACCAATTGATGCATCTTAGATGGCCACTTGCTAGCTTTTAAGACCCCAGATGCCACTCACCAAAGTGGGATGCAGAACATTTTCTTAATAAACTTCTTTGACCTTGATGACCTTGATGTCCCCTCAAACCATGGTCCCCAGACCCCCACCCCTGCTACTCTGTCCCTCGAAGTGTTTGGTTATATTCAGGAAACTTCTTAGCTTTTTGTTCAGTCCAGTTGTGCTGACTTCCCCTGTAGTGTGTGTTGTCCTTCCTTCACCCAAGATAATTCCTATCTACTATCTAGTTAGTGAATACCCACCTCTCTCCCTCCCCACCCTTGTAACCATCAAAGAATGTTTTCTTCTGTGTTTAAACCTTTTCTTGAATTCTTATAATAGTGGTCTCATACAATATTTGTCCTTTTGCGACTAATTTCACTCAGCATGATGCCTTCCAGATTCACCCATGTTATGAGATGTTTCATGGATTCATTGTTGTTCTTTATCATTGTATAGTATTCTGTTATGTGAATATACCATGATATGTTTATCCATTCGTCTGTTGATGGGCACCTAGGTTGTTTCTATCTTTTTGCTATTGTGAACAGGGCTCCAAAGAACATGGGTGTGCATATATCTATTTGTGTGAGGGCTCTTATTTCTCTAGGATATATTCCAAGGGCTGGGATTGCTAGATCTTATGGTACTTCTATTTCTAACTTTTGAAGGAAGCGCCAAATCAGTTTCCAAAATGGTTGTACTGTTTTACATTCCCACCAGCAGTGTACAAGTGTTCCAGTCTCTCTGCTTCTCCAACATTTATTATTTTGCGTGTTTTGGATTAATGCTAGCCTTGTTGGGGTGAGATGGTGCCATGGATTGAATTACGTCCCCCAAAAAATGTGTGTATCAATTTGGCTGGGACATGATTCCTGGTATTGTGTGATTTTCCTATATATTGTAAATCCTGCCTCTATGATGTTAATGAGGGAAGATGGGTGGCAGTTGTGTTAGTGAGGCAGGACTCAGTCTATAAGATTGGATTGTGTCCTGAGGCAATCTCTTGAGATATAAAAGAGAGAAGTGAGCAGAGAGACGGGGGACCTCATACCACCAAGAAAGCAGTGCCAGGAGCAGAGCATGTTCTTTGGACCTGGGGTCCCTGTGTGGAGAAACTCCTAGTCCAGGGGAACGTTAATGAGAAGGCCAACAGAGAAAACCTTCCCCTGGAGCTGACGCCCTGAATTTGGACTTTTAGCCTACTTTACTGTGAAGAAATAAATTTCTCTTTGTTAAAGCCATCCACTTGTGGTATTTCTCTTGTAGCAGCGCTAGATGACTAAGACAGATGGTATCTCATTGTAGTTTTGATTTGCATTTCTCTAATGGCTAATGATTGGGAGGATTTCATCATGTATCTGTTAGCCGCCTGAATGTCGCCTTTGGTGAAGTGCCTGTTCATATCCTTTGCCCATTTTTTAATTGGCTTGTTTTTTGTTGTTGTTGTTGAGGTTTTGCAGTATCTTGTAGATTTTGGAGATTAGACCCTGATCGGATATTCTCCTAACCAAACATTCTTTCCCAGTCTGTTGGTTGTCGTTTTACTCTTTTGGTGAAGTCTTTTGATGAGCGTAAGTGCTTGATTTTTAGGAGCTCCCAGTTATCTAGTTTCTCTTCTGGTGTTTGTACATTGTTGGTAATGTTTTATATTCTGTTTATCAAGGCAGAGATTTTTTACTAGTTAAGCTAAACTATTGTTTGGTTTTAAGAAGACTTCAGGTGACATTTTTTGTTTAAGTTTTAAAATAATCTCAGGGCAGTAGTTTTAGGGATTTAGCCAGCCCCTTTAGGGGCATTCTTACGTGTAAGTCCCTGAGCTAGATTCTGTATGAAGAACAGAACTGTGGAAGAAAGACATGATCTGGGTTCTCAAGAATTTGAGGGGTGATAATATCAATACACAAATATTTGCAATACAAAGCAATATAGGATATTTACCACAAAAAAACCCCAAACCCATTGCCGTGGAGTGGATTCTGACTCATAGCGACCTTAGGACAGGGTAGAACTGCCCCATAAGGTTTCCTAGGCTGTAATCTTTATGGAAGAATTTGATACATCTTTCTCCCGTGGAGAGGCTAGTGAGTTTGAACAGCCGACCTTTTGGTTAGCAGCTGAACACTTAACCACTGCACCCCCAGGGCTCTGTATATGTACCCCAGAGGAAGTAAAATTGAGGTGCTATAAGAGTACAGATGGAAGGGATTGTTGAGGAGTGGCATTGTTGATAAGCTGCCTTAAAAGACAGCTGTATACTAGGATATTCTCAGCAGGGAAATACAGTGCTTGCTGTAGTTTGTGTATTTTTTCTCTAGGCAGAGGGGAACCATTAGAAGCGAAATGGAGTGATATGTTTAGTAGACCACGTGCTCAGCACTACTTCCCTCAATATTTTATTGTACTTTTGTCAGGCTCCGGGTAGTAATAGGGTATATAAAGGTGAATATGTCATCAAGGAGGCCTTCACACTTACAGGCCCCTCTGCCTGTATCACACTCCCCTTGAATACCCTTTCCTAGTTCTCTGCATGGCTCTCTCCCTCATTTATATCAGGTTTGTGCTCAAATATCACCCAATACAAGACTTATTCAACCATACTTTCTACAAAACACCCATGTGTCCTGCTTTATTTTTCTTTCTGTCACTTATCACTACCTGACATTTTCTATACAGTTAATTTATATTTATGTACTTTCCATTTCCTATACTAAACTATTAGCTCCATGAGAGCAGAGACTTTGTTTTGTCCACTGGTGTATTCCCAAGAGCAAGACGGCCTGACACATAGAGGATGCTCAATAAATACTTGATGAATACATGATTGAAGAGGATTCCTGGGGAGAGCCACAAAAATCGAACAATTACAACATGATTATAAAAAGTCACAAAAATAGTATGTTGTTGTTGTGTGCTCTCGAGTGGATTCCCACTCACAGCGACCCTATAGGACAGAGTAGAATGGCCCTGTAGAGTTTCGAAGGAGTGGCTGGTGAATTCGAACTGCTGAGCTTTTGGTTAAAAGCCTGAGCTCTTAACTGCTTCGTCACCAGGGCGCCTAAAAACAGTATAGTACTTGGGAAACACAGAGAAGGGAGAAGCCTACCTATATGTAGTATGGAAATGGACATAGAGGAATTGACATTTGCATGGAGTCTTAGAGACATAACTAGGATATTTCAGGTGGACATGAG